TATGTAATGAGTCGATGCTACTTCCTTGTTTGACCCCTCCAGCAGTCGTGGGGGAAAAGGATGCTGTGAATGGCATGGAAAAAGGTGATAGGAAGTCCCCGGTTGGAGATAAACTTTAGTTGTGTAATTTATACAGTTCTGGTGTCAATTCCATTCTGTTTCTGATCTTGCTGGGTACAACTCCATTTTCTCCATTTTCATTTTTCTACGGAGCTTCTCGGTCATCCAGGTCCTGGTTGTCCCAAAGGTGCTTTTTCAGGAGGCAACTGGACTTTCTGGGTTTTTCTTTGAAGATATTTCGCTTCTCATCCAAGAAGCTTCTTCAGCTCTGACAGGACGGTGGGGAAGGGAAGGATTTTTTTTAAAAAATTTGATTTATATGCCGCCCTTCTCCGGAGACTCAGGGCGGCTTACAATGCGCTAAGCAATAGCCTTCATACTTTTGTACATTTATACAAAGTCAGCTTATTGCCCCCACAAACTGGGTCCTCAATTTACCTACCTTAGAAAGGATGGAAGGCTGAGTCAACCTTGAGCCTGGGGAGATTCGATCTTACTTTAATTGCAGACAGCTGGTGTTAAATTACAGTGCTTCTGTCTGTTGAGCTATCCAGGCTCCTTATATTATATTCCTTGCAGACAAAGCTGGTCATTTGCATCCTTTTAGAGGGTCATTGAGGCCACCTGGAGGTTTATCTGTAGTCCTCAGGGTCACCTGTGTAGTGCAAATGGTTCCTGTAGCTGCAATTTTTGGGAAATCGGTTGGAAATTTCCCAAAATTTCCATCCAGTCAGAGCTGAAGAAGCTTCTTGGATGAGAAGCGAAACGTCTTCAAAGAAAAACCAGAAAATCCAGTGGCCTCTTGAAAAAGCACCTCCGGGACAACCATTTTCATTTATACCACCAACTTCCCAGCAACTCAGTCTTCCCAGCTGTGGGCTGGGGATCGACGCCGGCCTACTCTGCAGGGTTCTCAGGAAGTCACGCTTGCAAGATTCTTTATTGAAGTTAAGAAATTAATGAGTATGAAATTTGTTTTTATGAAAGGGAAGAGAGATCTGATAGCAGTCTTCCAATATCTCAGGGGCTGCCCCAAAGAAGAGGGGGTCAACGTATTCCCCAAATCACCTGAAGGCAGAACAGAAGCAACGGATGGAAACTAATCAAGGAGAGAAGCAACCTAGAACTAAGGAGGAATTTCCTGACAGTGAGAACAATTAACCAGTGGAACAGCTTGCCACCAGAAGTTGTAGGTGTTTCATCACTGGAGGTTTTCAACAAGAGATTGGCAGCCATTTGTCTGAAATGGCATAGGGCTGTGATGGCGAACCTATGGCACGCGTGCCACAAGTGGCAAGTGGAACCATATCGGTGGGCACACATACGCGTTCCAGCCAGTTGATTTTTGGGCCTTCTGAGCCCCCTGAAAGTCGGCAAACAGGCTGTTTCCGGCCTCCAGAGGGCCTCCAGGAGGGTAGGAAAGGCTGTTTTTGCCCTCCCCAGGCTCCTAGAAAGGCTCTGGAGCCTGGGGAGGGCGAAAAACGGGCCTACCAGGCTCACCAGGCCATCGCGTGCCAAAAGCAAGGGAAGCGTGGGGGGGGTCGCGTACACATGCACAGGGGTGGGGCGCATAGAATTATGGGCGTGGGCACGCACACATGTGACACCCCTCCGCACTCCCCCCGCTTTTGGCATGCAATAGCAAAAAGGTTAGCCATCACTGGCATAGGGGGTTGGACTAGAAAACCTCCAAGGTCTTCCTTCCAACTCTATTACTCTGTGAATTATGTTGAGCCTGGATAGCTCAACAGACAGAGCTCTGTAATTTAACACCAGCTGTCTGCAATTACTGTAAGTTCAAATCTCGCCCGGCTCAAGGTTGACTCAGCCTTCCATCCTTTCTAAGGTAGGTAAAATGAGGACCCGGATTGTGAGGGCAATAAGCTGACTTTGTATAAATATACAAAAGGATGAAGGCTATTGCTTAACGCCTTGTAAGCCCCCTGAGTCTCCGGAGAAGGGCGGCATATAAATCAAATTTTTTTAAAAAATTAATCAGTGGAAGGGTTGCCACCAGACGTTGTGGGTGCTTCATCCCTGGGGGTCTTTAAGAGGAGATGGGATAGCCGTTTGTGCAGAATGGGATCGAGTCTTCTATTTGAGCAGGGCAGGGGGGTGGACTAGAAGACCTCCGAGGTCCCTTCCAGGCCTATGATTCGATAAGATGCCAGTTTGAGCAAGGATGACTGCAGCCTTGCTCCCGCTAAAGGCCAGGAACTGCAGGGCCATCCTCCCCAGCCAGCGGGGAGGGGAGGGGGGGCACACACGAAATCCAGGAAGGCTGGAGCATGTGGTGGGGGGCTGCCCCCCAGCTTCTCGCGGGTGGGAGGTTCAAATTGTGTGAGGGCCAGGAGGCAGGCAGAGGCTCCGCTGAGTGTGATTTCTCTCCTTCAGGCAAAGCGGGTGGGGTGGGCACCTTGCCCCTTATCTCTCCTAGAGGCAATCGATGGGCATCAACAGACACCCCCCCCCTCACCCAGGAGAATCAGCACACACGCCCCCCCTGCCCCCCCCCGGAGGGATTCGATCCCCTGCAGGAGCCTCACAAAGGGCTTTCCAATAGAGATGTAGAGCCACAAGAAAAGCTCTTAATTAGCACCCTTATCGCAGGCAGGAGAAAGCAGCTTAATTAGTTCGGGGAGAATAATGAGGGCCAGGAGCACGGTGGAGGGGGCTGTGAACCTTGGGGGAGCCCCCCCCCCCATCATCTGCAGGTAGCCCAGATCCATCCATCCTTCCTTCCTTCCTTCCTTCCTTCCTGCCTTCCTTCCTTCCTTCCTTCCTTCCCTTCTCCCTCCCTCCTCCTTTCTTCCCTCCTTCCTTCCTTCCCTCCCTCCCTCCCTTCCTTCCTTCCCTTCTCCCTCCTTCCTCCTTTCCTTCCTTCCTTCCTTCCTCTTCTCCTTTCCTTCCTCATCCCCTCCTTCCTTCCTTCCTCCCTCCCTCCCTCTCAGCTCCTTCCCTCCCTTCTTCCCCTTCTCCCTCCTCCTTTTCTTCCTTCCTCCCTCCCTCCTTCTCATCCTCCTTTCCTTTTCCTCACTGACCTGCTATCTTATTCTCTTTCTCCCATTTTCCATTCCTCCATTTCTCCCTCCTTCTCTTCCTTCCGTCCTCCCTCCCTCCTTCATTCCATTTTCTCACTCATCTTTCTTCCTTCTTCCTCCCTCCCTCCCTCCCTCCTTCCTTTTCCTCACTGACCTGCCTATTATATTCCTTCTCTTCAGTGGTGGGATTAAAATTTTTTACTACTGATGCTGTGGGCATGGCTTGGTGGGTGTGGCTTGGTGGGTGTGGCATGGGAAGGTTACTGCAAAATCCCCATTTCCCCCCTATCAGCTGGGACTTGGGAGGCAGAGAATAGATGGGGGCGGGGCCAGTCAGAATTTTTACTACCGGTTCTCTGAACTACTCAGAAGTTCCGCTACCGGTTCTCCAGAATTGGTCAGAACCTGTTGAAACCCACCTCTGCCTCTCTCCCATTTTCCTTCCTCCCTTCTTCTCTAAACTTCCTTCCTCACTTTCCTCCCTCCCTCCTTCCATTCCTTTCTTCCTTCCTCCTTCCCTCACTTTCCCTCCTTCTTTCTTTCCCCCCTTTCCCTTTTTTTCACTGACCTGCCTATCTCATTCCCTCTCTCCCGTTTTCCTCCCTCCCTCCTTTTTTTCTCATATTCTCCTTCCTTCCTCCCTCCCTCCCTAATCAAAATTTGAACTCTTGGCAACTGACTCGTATTTATGACGGTGGCAGTGTCCCAGGGTCACGTGATCCCCTTTTGCGACCTTCTGAACAGCAAAGTCAATGAGGAAGCCAGTTTCACTTAACAACTGGGTTACTCACTTAACAACGGCAAGTGATTCACTTAACAAGAAAAGTTGTATAAATGGGGCAAAACTCACTTAACAAATTTCTCACTGAGCAACATAAATTTTGGGCTCAATTGTGGCTGTAAGTTGAGGACTACCTCTGGTCTTTAGCTCTCCCCTCTTGCTGTGCACCCCTCCCCATGTTTGCGGGAGCAATAAGTGAATTCTGGATAAGCTCAGGGGCTCTCTTGCCAATAGCGTCCTTAGCTGGCACTGGGACACAAGCGGAGGGAGTTTGAGTCACCCAGCTCTGGCTTCCATCTTGACTTTTTTGACCCCACCTGCGGCAGCCCTGGGGTGGAGGGGGGGCCCTTATTCAGCCCCAAAGCCATTTAATGGCAGCCCTGATGGAGGGCCTCCGACCCGACATTGGAAATCGGTGCTGGGTTTTGTTATCGGGCCGATTGGAATGAAGAGGAAGCTCCAGCAATTGAGGGGATTCGATAAATGCTTTAACCTCTGACCTCGCCTCCCCCGACCCATCAAGCCATAGAGCCCCCACCCACCCCCCACGGCCTCTGACGCCAATCCAGAGGTTTGCCATCAATTAGAGCCCTTTGCCAACCACTGAATGGATGAAGCTGTGCGCGATCAGCCCCGACAGGCAAAGGCCGAGGTTAATGGGGGGCTAATTAAGTGGGAGGGGCAGGCAAGGATTGCTCTGGGATGGGAGGAAGGGAGGGAGGGAGAAAAGGAAAGGAAAGAGGGAGAAGGAAGGAAGGAAGGAAGCGATGGATGAAGGAAAGAAAAGGAAAGGGGGAAAGAAGGAAGGAAAGGGATGGAGGAAAGGAAAGAAAAGAGGGAAAAGGGAGAAGAGAGGGATGGAGAAAAGGAAAGAGGGAGAAGGAAGGAAGGAAGGAAAGAAAGAAGAGCAAGAAAGAGAGAAATAAAGAGAAAAGAGAAAGAGGAGGGAGGGAGGGAGGGAGGAGAGGGAGAAAGGAGAGATGGAGGAAAGAAAATGAAAGTGCAGGCAGGCAGGCAGGAAGGAAGTAAAGGAAGGAAGTAAAGGAAAGAAGGAAGGAAGGAAGGAAGTAAAGGAAAGAAGGAAGGAAGGAAGGAAACTCTCCCCGTCCCCCACTCACCTCTCTTCTGCATGAAGCTGAAGAGATCATCCAGAAATTCCTTCCGCTTGGGGTCTCCGCCCAACTCGTAGAGCTGCAGAGGGGAAAGAAACAGTGGGTATCAGTTGGGGGGGCTGACAAGAGCCCCCCCCCCCCAAGAGCAGATGGAAGGGAAACTGAAGAGGCCGGGGTAAGCCACTCAGACTCGCTTTGCGTAATGAGAGAGAAAAAAAGGCAGTGGAAATCCTAAATGCAGAAACCCCCCCCTCCCCATTCTGCATTACTCCAGATGGGGGCGGGGGTTCCTCATCCTTCTTCTGGGCGGGTTGTTCAATATTCCAGCCCCCTCCTCCTCAGATCTCTTAGTGGTCTCCCTACCACATCCAACCCAGGCAGCTGCAGGGAAAGGCTGTCTTTCCTACCTTAAATGCCCCTAACCCTACCGAACCCCCCCCCCCCACCTATTTCCAAGCCTTCCCCAACTCCAGAGATTGTTGCAGCTTCTGGGCCAGCTTGCTTCTTCTTCAGAGGGGCTGCCACTCCCAAACACAACACACACACACACACACACACACACACACACACACACACACACACACACACACAGAGGAGACCTTCGCTAACAAAATTGTTCTTTTGGAAATTGAAGTATCATCAATTTTACATTTCCTTCCTTCCTTCCTTCCTTCCTTCCTTCCTTCCTTCCTTCCTTCCTTCCTTCCTTCCTTTACTTCCTTCCTTCCTTCCATCCATCCATCTCCTTCATTTCACTTCTTCCTTCCTTCCTTCCCTTCCTTCCTTCCTTATTTGTACCCTATGACTATCATTAAGTGTTGTACCTTATGATTCTTGACGAATGTATCTTTTCTTTTATGTACACTGAGAGCATCTGCACTAAAGACAAATTCCTTGTGTGTCCAATCACACTTGGCCAATAAAGAATTCTGTTCTATTCTATTTTCTCCTTCCTTCCTTCCTTCCTTCCTCCCTCCCTCTCTTCCTTCCTTTTTTCTCCTTCCTCCCTCCCTCCCTCCTTCTTCCTTTTCTCTCCATCCTTCCTCCTTCCCTCCCTCCCTCCCTCCCTCCCTTCCTTTTCTCTCCTTCTTTCCTTCCTTCCTTCCTTCCTTCCTTCCTTATTTGTACCCTATATCATTAAGTGTTGTACCTTATGATTCTTGACAAACGTATCTTTTCTTTTATGTACACTGAGAGCATCTGCACTAAAGACAAATTCCTTGTGTGTCCAATCACACTTGGCCAATAAAGAATTCTGTTCTATTCTATTTTCTCCTTCCTTCCTTCCTTCCTTCCTCCCTCCCTCTCTTCCTTCCTTTTTTCTCCTTCCTCCCTCCCTCCCTCCTTCTTCCTTTTCTCTCCATCCTTCCTCCTTCCCTCCCTCCCTCCCTCCCTTCCTTTTCTCTCCTTCTTTCCTTCCTTCCTTCCTTCCTTCCTTCCTTATTTGTACCCTATATCATTAAGTGTTGTACCTTATGATTCTTGACAAACGTATCTTTTCTTTTATATACACTGAGAGCGTATGCACCAAAGACAAATTCCTTGTGTGTCCAATCACACTTGGCTAATAAAAAATTCTATTCTATTCAAAAAAAAATAAAAAACCCCAGCAATGTGCTTTCTTCCTGGACTCCCATCCCTGCCCTTCTCTTTCCTTCCAGCGAGAGCCCCCTCCTCCTCTGCCCCAGAACAGCCCTGTAGGGCTTTGGCCAGCTGGGGGGGCCATTACAGCATCTAATTCTCCCTTCTCCTCCCCCCCCCCAATTCCTGAAGCTTGCAAGCGGCAAAGGGCAGCTCCACTTCCGCATCTTCTGGCTGAGCCGTGATGGATGGACTCCGCTCGCCGGACCCCCAGGAGAGCCATAGCTGACCGCCCCCAGCCTCCCACCCCAGCAGTGACCTTTAACCTCTGTGCGGGTGGGAGAGATAAATATTTGATGACAGACCCTGATCTCCGCTGAGCCTCCGCTGACACCTGTAGGGATTACATGCAAAGCCCCTGCGCCCCCCCCCTCTCCCCTCCATCAGGGCAATTAGCAAGAAGGGGGGCAGCCCGGATGACCTTTGACCTCTTAGCATCCAGGAAGAAATATTGATGGGGAAAGAGGAAAAAACCCTGGGCCTCTTCCGAGTTTTATAGGGAAGACTCACAACTCAACCACAGAAGCAAAAACAAGTTTAGGAGCCAACACAATTCTAGGCTGCATCAACGGAGGGATAGAATTGCGATCCCGTGAAGTGTTCATACCACTTTATCATGCCTTGGTAAGGCCACACTTGGAATGCTGCATCCAGTTTTGGTCACCACGATGTAAAAAAGATGTGGAGACTCTAGAAAGAGTGCAGAGAAGAGCAACAAAGAGGATTAGGGGACTGGAGGCTAAAACATATGAAGAACGGTTGCAGGAACTGGGTATGTCTACTTTTTTTTTTTTTTTAATTTAATTTATATGCCGCCCTTCTCCGAAGACTCAGGGCGGCTTACAATGCGTTAAGCAATAGCCTTCATCCTTTTGTATATTTATACAAAGTCAGCTTATTGCCCCCACAAACTGGGTCCTCATTTCACCTACCTTAGAAAGGATGGAAGGCTGAGTCAACCTTGAGCCTTGGCGAGATTCGAACCCTGCAGTAATTGCAGGCAGCTGGTCTTAATAAGCTTAATAACAGGGTGCCTTAAACCCCTGTACTACCAAGGCTCTGTACTTTAATGAAGAGAAGGACTAGGGGAGACATGATAGCAGTCTTCCAATATCTCAGGGGCTGCCCCAAAGAAGAGGGAGTCAAGCTCTTCTCCAAAGCACCTGAGGGCAGGACAAGAAGCAAAGGGTGGAAACTAATCAAGGAGAGAAGCAGCCTGGAATTAAGGAGAAACTTCCTGACAGTTAGAACTTTACTTTACTTTTACTTTTATTTGATTTCTATACCGCTCTACTCCCGAAGGACTCAGGGCGGTGAACAGCCAACAATAAAATACATACATACAAAATTTAAAAAAACAGAAATAAAATCGAATTAAATAGTTTGGCCCAGACAGATTAAAACCCCAATCAATTTAAAACAGATTTAAACTTTGAAGATTAAAAGATATTAAAAATATTAAAATATTAAAATTGTTTAAAAAGAGGGAGAAAGTTAGGCCAGGCCCGCCTGGCGAAATAAAAAGGTCTTGAGAGCGCGGCGGAAGGTGCGCAGATCCGGGATCCTCCGTATCTCCGGGGGGAGCTCGTTCCAGATAGTAGGTGCCCCCAGAACAATTAACCCAGTGGAACAGCTTGCCACCGGAAGTTCTGAATGCTCCAACACTGGAAGTCTTAAAGAAGAGACGGCGCAGCCATTTGTCTGAAATGGTATAGGGCAGTGATGGCTAACCTTTGTGCCAAAAGCGGGGGAGCGTGGGGGGGTTGCGCACGAGCGTGCCCAAACCCATAATTCAATGCCACCACACACCCCCGCGCATGCACGCACAGCCCCCCAAAGCTCCCCCTGCTTTTGGCATGTGATGGCACAGTGGGCCCGGTAGGCCTGTTTTTTGCCCTCCCCAGGCACCAGAGGCTTTCTAGGAGCCTGGGGAGGGCGAAAACGGCCTTCCCCCCACCCCCAGAGGCCCTCTGGAGGCTGGAAACAGCCCATTTCCCGACTTCCGGTGGGCCCAAAAGGCCCGAAAACTAGCTGGCCGGTGTGCACATGGAGCTGAGCTAGGGCAATGCTTGCATGCCCACAGATATGGCTCCACATACTACCTGTGGCATGCATGCCATAGGTTTCCCATCATGGGTATAGGATCTCCTGCCTGAGCAGTGGGTTGGACTAGAAGACCTCCAGGGTCCCTTCCAACTCTGTTATTCTGTATTCTATCCTGAGGATTTGCACACCGAGGTTGGAAGATTTTGTCTATGAAGCAAACCATTATTTCATTTTGGGGGGTGGGGGGGGGAACGGAAGGACTTATACCAGTGGTGGAATTCAATTTTTTTTACTCCCAGTTCTGTGGGCGTGGCTTGCTGAGCCTGGTGTGGCTTGGTGGGCATGGCTTGGTGGGTGTGGCAGGGGAAGGATACTGCAAAATCCCCATTCCCTCCCCACTCTGGGGCAGCCAGAGCAGTGGTAGGTTCCTCCCGGTTTGGCCCGGTTCGGCCAAGCCGGTAGCAGTGACGATATGACGTCACCGAACTGGTTCTCTTTGTTCGGGAGCTGGGCCCTCCCGCCCCCTCCGCCCCACCCCCCACATTATTCTTACCTTTTATTTGGCTCCACCCCAGTGGTGGGTTCCTCCCGGTTCGGTCCGGTTCGGCCGAGCCAGTAGCGGTGACGATATGACGTCACCGAACCGGTTCTCCCCCCCGCCCTCCCCCACCCCCCCACCTCCCCACGTTATTCTTACCTTTTATTTGGTCCCACCCCCAATCTATTGCTGCCTCCTGAGTCCCAGCTGATGACAGGAGGGAAAAAAACTGCTTAAACTCTTGCTGCGGGGCTTCAAAGGGCCGCCCTACAGCTGATCAGTGTTAAAAGCAAACAAATGAGTCGGGTCATAAGTGCGAGGACTGGTCATAAGTGCGAGGACCTTCCAGAAATGACTGTGACCAGCTAGCCACGCCCACCTAGTCACATGACCTCCAAGCCACACCCACAAAATAAGCCACACCCAAAGAACCGGTAGTAAAAAAATTTAGAACCCACCCCTGACTTATACCAGTGGTGGAATTCAAATATATTTACGGTTCTGTGGGCGTCGCTTGGTGAGTGTGATGTGGCTTGGTGGGCATGGCTTGGTGGGTGTGGCAGGGGAAGGATACTGCAAAATCCCCATTCCCTCCCCACTCTGGGGCAGCCAGAGCAGTGGTAGGTTCCTCCCGGTTCGGCCCGCTTCGGCCGAGCCGGTAGCAGTGACAATATGACGTCACTGAACCGGTTCTCTTTGTTCGGGAGCTGGGCCCTCCCACCCCCCTCCGCTCCGCCCCCCCACATTATTCTTACCTTTTATTTGGCCCCACCCCCAATCTATTGCTGCCTCCCGAGTCCCAGCTGATCCGCTAGAAGGAAAAAAACTGTTTAAAGTCTTGCCGCGGGACTTCA